ATCACTCAGTCTTTAAAAGTGATAGACTTAAATTTCACCACAGGTAAGAACTTTTTTTATATCTTTCCTTGTGTAATCTGTTTTCCTGATTGAATTCTGTTTTATCCAATGGTGTATGATTGGCATAGAATGGCTTGAACTTTTCTTTAAAAGGGTGCTATCCAAACTCCACTGGAGGACTGCAGTGTCACTGTGAAGAGCAGTTTGCTTGGTCATGTGACCAGTGCAACATCTACGGTGCGTGCAGCAATGCCACCAGCCAAACCTGTGGGTGCATAAATGGACTTCCGTCTGATGGAGCGCTCTGTGAACCAATCACAAGTAAGCATTTCTGTTTAGTAGTAGTTCAAATAAAAGTGGTGCTGTGAGAGGTTCCTGCAAATCACTCGGGCGCGAGATATAAGAACACTTCCTTCACTCTGTTCAATCTCACTCTCATTATCTTTTCACTCAATTACCTACTCATTTCTCACCATGTAAATATTTAATTAAAAGCAATGGTAAAAAGCTAAAAACAAAGAAAAAGAAAACAGGACAGTAAAAGTTACAGTGCAGTTTAAGTTATCAATCTACTAGTTAAAGGCAGTGGTAAAAAGAAAAATTTTAAATATTTAATTAAAAGCTATGGTAAAAAGAAATGTCTTCAGTCTTAATTTAAAAGAACTGACAGTTTCAGCAGACCTGCAGTTATCTGGAAGTTAAGATATACGGAGCATAATAACTGAATGCTGCTCCTCCTTGTTTAGATTTGACTCTGGGGACAGAAAGCAGACCTGCCCCAGACTACCTGAGAGGTCTGGATGGTTCATAACGAAGCAGAAGATCAGAAATGTATTTTGGCCCTAAACCATTTTGTGCTTTATAAACTAACAGCAGGATTTTGAAATCAATTCTTTGACAAACAGGAAGCCATTGTAAAGACCTCAGAACTGAAGTGATGTGATCCACGTTTTTGGTCTTAGTGAGGACACGAGCAGCAGCGTTCTGAATCAGCTGCAGCTGTCTGATGGATTTCTTAGGGAGCCCTGTAAGGACACCATTACAATAGTCGAGTCGACTGTCTAGTAATATGTTGTGGTTCACCATGTTGAACGCAGCACTGAGATCCAATAATACTAAGACTGAAATTCTGCCACTGTCAGTGTTTAAATTGATGTCATTGAAGACCTTAACAAGAGCCATCTCAGTGCTGTGGTGTGGTCGAAAACCTGACTAGAAGACATCAAAACAGTTATTTAGTTCCAAGAAAGCACTAAGCTGTAGAAAAACAGCTTTTTCAATGATTTTACTTAAAAATGGGAGATTTGATATGGGCCTGTAATTGCTCATTAGTGACCTGCTCTTTTTTAAGAGTGGCTTAATGACTGCAGTTTTCAGGGCCTATGGGAAAAAACCTGAGAGGAGAGACATGTTGACAATTTGTAGTAGATCTGAGGCCATGTATTTAGAAACATATTTGAAAAAACCTGTTGGCAGAATATCAAGGCAGTATGAGGAGGATTTCAGATGTTGTATTCTGTCCTCCAGGTTTTTATGGTTAATAGAATCAAATTGTCTCATGCTATATGAATTGTTTTTAAGTGGACACAGGGACAAGACATATCCTGTTACTGACATGGAGGCACTGATTGCTTGTCTAATTGTTTGAATTTGGTCTGTGAAGAAGGAAGGAAATTCATTGCAGGCCCTGGTGGATAGAAGTTCAGAGGCTACAGACACAGGAGGGTTGGTTAGCCTGTCGACAGTAGCAAACAGGGCATGTGCATTATTAGTTTTTGGTGATGATGTCAGAGAAGAAGGACTGCCTTGCATTTCTCAGCACCTCCCCTCTTACGCACTCTAGCGTCACTCATAAAACTGAAGTTGGGAGGGGTAGACTCGATAAGGACAGCTGCACTGTTGGTCCAACCAAGTTTCAGTTAAAAACCTGAAATTAAGATTGTTAGTGATTATAAAATCATTGATTAAAAATGTTTTTCCTGCCAAAGACCAAATGTTTAACAAAGCTAATTTTAGTGTGTTAAAAACATTATCTGGCCCACTTTTTTCGACAGGCTGCGGCTGACGAGGAATTAATACTAAATTTGCAGGATCTGTTGAGTGCTTCCTGTTTCTTAACACATTCACCGTGCTCTTTCTGTTACCTATCAAGACAGGGATGGAGAAGACTACCAGCACTCTGGGCCCCGGCTTGTCCTGGGAAGAGTCATTTGTGCTATTTTCCTTGTAGCCTGGACCCAGCACATATCAGACAGAGCTTACTGGGCTTTTTTGCCATTGCGGAGCAGGAAGGCAGGTTGTGCGCTGTATTTGTGACACGTGTCAAACCTGGAGGACTTGGTGGAGGTGGACCGTGAGGGGGGTTTAGGGTAGAGAAAATGGGAGTGGAGCGAGGGAAGGTGCGTGGAGTAAATTTGGTCCCAGCTCTAACCAGGTCTTCCATGTGATCAGTGAAGTCCAAAAGGGGGGAGAGGGGAGAAAGGGTGTCTGGAGATAAGGGTGAACTAGATGGGAATTGGGGGGGTAGAGATGGTGAATTCTCACTGTTGGTTTTCAGTGAGGGAGGTGCAGGCTCTTCCTCTTGGCTCAGATGTCTCCCATGATCATAGCTCTCTTCCGGCGGGGGCTGAGGTGGCTCTCCTTCAAGGTTTCTGGCGTGTGTTATGTCTTCTTCTTGTTTAGTTCTCTCTTGTCTCTTGTCCTTGGCAGAGGGAACAGATGAGTGACGCAGAAAGTAAAACAGGTTGGAGCTTAACAATTTTACTCCTGACTTGTTAAGCGAAGTCCATCTGCCTTAAAAAGATTCGGATTGGCGGTATAGGGCCACTGATAAACACCTCAGCATTCAAAGAGTTGACTGTGTTCAACAGATTATTAAAGTCCTCTTTCAACACTTCAGACTGTTGCTTCACAACATCATTGGTCCCGATGTGCAGTATGATGTTTTTCACAGTAGAATGTTCAGCCACGATATGCAGGATTCTTTCTGCCAAGTCAGACACCGTATCCTTCAGAAAGCAGAGTATTTTGGTGTTCTTACTGCACATGCTTCTTACGTCGTTTACAGCAGAATCACCCACAATCAGAGTTTGAGGCCCAGTCGTTAGCTTTCCCTGCAGCCTTTTACTTTCTGATTTACTTTCAGTCCTTACCCTTCTGTGTGAGGATAGGATGTTATCCAGGTCATCAGATGGAGATCCAGGGTCCTGCAATAGTGGTGAAAATCTGTTCTGCTGTTGCACACTCGGTTGATGGTGAGGTTTGTTGCTAACTCTCCCTTTCGCAGCTGTCCACGCTGTGTCCTACTAAGAACAGGGTTTGAAGAGGCGTTTTGCCTGGATGATAATTCAGGCCAGCCAGTCGCATCACAAATCTCAGGGCTCTGGGTTCTGCCTGTTACTCGTCCTCCCATTTCCCCAGGAAATGATTTACTCTTAGGCTTTGCACCAAAGCGTTCCAGGGAGGACTCCCACTTTCAGATTTATTACCCAGTACACAGGCTTCCTGCTTCTTGGTAGTCTTGTTGGTGCTAATTAGTCGTGTGTTAGCATGTTAGCTTGTTAGCAAGTGGTATCATTCCCACATAATCCATTCACTTCCACATTCACTTCTAACCTGTGGATCTTGGACAGCACAGTAATTTTCTGTAGAAGTTTGTAGAAGTCATCCGTGGAGAAGGGTGGCATCTTGTTGCTAATTAGCATTAGCTATAGCTCCAGTCACTGCAGTACAGGCTAGTGCTATTGATAGGCTGCACTCGCGTAGCACTAAGATCATAAAAGTATGACAAGAGCCTACTTTATCAGTCCCAGTGATTTAAAAGTATCCAAGAGCTGCTGATTTCTAGCAGGGGGGGAAAAAACAGAGTTTAAGCAAAAGAATGCAGGCAGAGGCAAGAGCAAGCAGCAAAGCGTCTGCACTGTAAGAAAGCAGGAAGTATGAGACAGAATAGTTGTGATTGTGGTGTATAACATATGTGCATTTGACCATTACAGTTTAACATAATGCTCTGTAGCTGGGGACAGTGAACCCTTATGGGGACAGTGAACCCTTATGGGGAAGTAATGATTGATGGGAGTACAAAGAGTGAACCCTCCTATAGAACTTGACCACTGACTCAGAGCTGGAGAGAGGCACAGTGAACCCTTAAGGGGAAGTAATGATTGATGGGTGTGCAAAGAGTGAACCCTTCTATGAAATTTGACCTCTGACCCAGTGGTAGGGGGAGTAGAGGTTAGTGTGTATGAAGGGACTGTGCCCTTATATGGTTTTTAGCAGAGACCTAAACATGTCCTATATAAGCTGTGTTCAATGTACAGAGAGACAGAGTGGCCATCGGGCTGGGTCACTCTCCAAGCTGCTGCAGAGCTTGTAATTGATGCTGAATTCTTTGATGTAATAAACTTTTATAATCAAGAACAGTGTCAAGCGGATTTCTTCTCAACACATCATCGCAGCATTATCGTTCGGACACCACATGATCCATTCATTGTTGATTAAAATAGAATTTATTGTCCTATGCAGAAAAACATGATGTATTAATTTAATCTCTAATGTTGCTCCACAGATATCACATTGTGTCCAACTCCATCTCCTGGTATGAGACAAATTTTGCTTGTTTGAATGGATACAGTTAAACAGAGTATAGTTGGAAAATCAACAGAATGTATTGATTTAAAAGAACATTTATTGATGCCAAGTATTGCAGAATACTTAGATTGACATAATTCAGGATGACATCACTGCAGAAAGTAACAGTTTTGTGAATACTGTGTATGATGGTAATTTTTTGTATTCTTCTTCTTTTACAGCAACAAACACAACAACACCGACCACAGCAGCAAACACACCAACACCGACCACAGCAGCAAACACACCAACACCGACCACAGAAACAAACATAACAACACCGACCACAGCAACAACACCGACCACAGCAGCAAACACACCAACACCGACCACAGCAGCAAACACACCAACACCGACCACAGAAACAAACATAACAACACCGACCACAGCAACAACACCAATCACAGCAGCAAACACAACAACACCGACCACAGCAGCAAACACAACAACACCGACCACAGAAACAACACCAACCACAGCAACAAACACAACAACACCGACGACTACACTACCCAGCACAACTACAACAATGCCAATGATGACAACACCACCACCACCAATGGGTATTACACATAGAATATGTGAATGAAGTTATGTATCTCATGAAAGTGCTTCTTTGTGATGACAATTGTTTAAATTTTAGTGAAGACCTTGACGTTCACCATGGACCTGGTTTACGATTCTTCATACAATAACCCGGAAAACGAGGTTTACAAAAACACTAATAACACTGTAAGTCTTGATGTGTCAATCAGTTTTGTCCCAATGTTCTTATATGAATTTATGTGATGTTTGATCCTGATGTAATTGTGGAACTGATTACAAGCAGGCTATGTCATTTTTTCAAACAGATTCAAGAACAATGTAAGACGCACATCTCAACTCTAGTATCAGTCAACATCAATGGCTTCAAGTAAGTCAAAATTTTCTTTTTATTTTACTGATGATGTTTTGACAGTTTGACTTACGGGCATTTTTTGGGGTGCCCGTCAGGTTTCTCTCCTGACATGTAAGAAATTGTACATTTTAACCCACCAAATGTCACAAAGGGTACATATATTATACTATGGACCCTCAAATTGAATTCAATACCCCTTGCACAATACTGAAACTACAACTAAGCTATAAAATGCAACAAAAGCAGTTCATAAATCAAAAGTCCTCAGTAGCAAAAAAGTTGCACATCAAAGTTGCTCCGTTACACATCTTTAGCTGTAGCGGCTGCAGTGTTGGTCAATGTACCATGCTAAATTTTGTTTTGTTTTGTTTGTGCAGATATTTGGGGGTTCACAGATGATGAATCCTATTACAGTTTGTTTTCAAATGCTAACATTGAACGCTAAAAGCTGAAGTCACATTGTCAAAACACTTCACATAGTCAGCGAAACAGAAGTGTATTTAGACCAAAAACTGTGAATCATTGTTCCAAAACAAAAACACTATATATTTGCAGCACAATTTTCAAATGCTAATACAATGTCTCCAAAACTGTTAAACACACTTTCAAAAAGGAATGTCCTGCAGTTCTGCACTAACCATATTGAGACAATCTTAGCAGAATATTTACAGTAAATTTTATGTTTACGTCTATGTGCGTAGTGTTTTGAAAAAAGTGGAGTGTAAAGCAGGAAATGTGCTTGTATTTTAGCCGACTTTGTTCAGGGGGTTGGAACATGAATTACAGGTTGGGGTCATTGTGTGTCGAGTACCAGTGTAACATTTTTCTCAATCGCTTTGGCGTCAAATGACTATTAAACTTTGTCAAACTATAGGACTGTGTATATGAACATTAGCTCAGTTGTCCACTGCACTGAGTAAGCCTTGCGGATAATAATACTTTGCATTTGTTTACTATTTAATTATATTTATCTCAAATGCAATTATACACACGTTCATTGTGTAAATCCCTACCCGCTTACAGATTTTTTCAGTTGCTAACCTGCGTTGATCAAAACTGAAGTCACATTATTAAAACTCTTCACAGTCAAAAACTCTTCAGTCAGCGAAACAGAAGCATATGTGGACCAAACTGTGAATCATTTTTCATTGCTTTCACACAAAATGCATTCAATGGCAACTTTCTCCAAAATCCATGAACTCTTTTCTCATTACGACATCACCGCCTTATGTAATGCCTGCACATTGTTAGCGTTTTGTAGGTCAGTGTGTTATGAGTGAGATCATGCGCTTTCTGAGTGAGAATTGTTGCCAGTGTTTAGGTTGAAAGAGTTTATTTTGAGACTTGTATGAAGTGTTTTGGGGGTTAAGTGACTTTTGCAGGTGAGATTAACTTTTCAAGATGCATGTTGGTAATGGAGACTGTGTGAAAGTGGCTTTAGTTTCAATGCATCTGTAGCATGTCTAAACTACATATGAATTTTAATAAATTTATGAGAATACCCAATTATGAATTTTAATATTCAGAAATATTAATCTATAAATCTCTCATTTTGCGGGGCACCACCAGAGTTTTTATTTGTCCTAGAGTCTCCGGACCTCTAGGTAGCTTTTAATAATTATACAATTATTCACCAGTGATCAGTTAATAATCGCTCAATTATCTTAAATCAATCAGTCAGTATCATATCTAAAGGGTAAATTCTCTTGACAGGGACTTAGAAGTAGGCAATACACACAATTCCTTGATTACAGTGAATTTATTAACTAACTAAGGTAATATAAAAAGGTGGTTAAATACATCGGAGAAATAAACAATGGCTAAACAATGAGAATGGAGGTTCAATTGTGGGAGGATTTGACTCATACGGCAACTAATGACTGCAATTGGATAATAACTCAGTTAAATTTGTCTAGGGGTTTAAGGATTACATATGCTGGACTAAAGATAAATGGATTAACAACTATTGGACGTCACTGATCACAGAATGTAGGGTTTTGGTCTTACTGCTTGTGTTTCTTCGCGCCGGGTTGCTGGTAAACGGCCTCGCACTGGCAGAGTCCGTGCGTTCTCGTTTAGGACAGCTTGAAGCTGTCGGCCAGTCGCTTTCTCTGCCAGGGAATTTCTCCGGGGGTCCGTCTCTGGGAGGCTTATTGAAGAAACTTGCAGTGGGGGGCCTTCCCAAC